ATGATTCCCCGCGTCCGCATAGCTAGGAGAGGTTAGCTATGGAAGGTTGAAAAAATATGTGTTTCAATTTGTGGAACCATGAACAAGTGTCTGCTTTCTGGAGTTGTTGGACTGCGAGATGTGTTAGCGGAGGTTCAATTGTGCATTTTCTATCAAAGACTGAAGCAGTTTGGCCTGACAAAAACCTTAACAGCTGGGCATTTTGCTTGTGGTGTCTACATTGCACTATAGCTCCACAGAACATCAGTTAACATACAGCTCTTGTATACTTTCAGTGGCATCTTGGGTTTTTTAAGAGTGCCTACATTCCAACTAACAGAGGCTTTGATTCGTTCTTTGGATTTTGGAGTGGCAAAACTGACTACTGGGACCACTCCCAAGCTGAAGACGGCTTCTGGGGATTAGACCTTCACAACAACACCACGGTATAAAAACTTTACCTCGTTTTCCATCATTTTTCCATCGTTTTCCCCTCCTTTTTGAATCCCAACTCCTCCCATTCCCAACATAACTGGCTAGAAATCTCATTACAAAACAATATATATATGAACTACATTTAGAGACATGAACACAATGAAATGAAGTTACCAGGGCCGTAGCCAGAAAAAAATGTGACTGGGACAATGGGCCATTCCCCCTATGAGACTTGCACACAGGAAATCATGGTAGTTAAGTATTCATCACGTGCATGACATCTTTGAGACATTGTATACAACTACCATGATTCCCTGCGTGCGTCTCATAGCTATAGAGTGAATGTCCATTGTTAAATTCTCTTCCTAGGTATTTAGAAGTGTTTTACATTCACCCTAAAACATCAACAACAGCAACAACAACAACAACAACAATAACAACAAGCACAAAAACGGAAAAAATGGCTGAGGCCTTGGTTTGCCTCATACTGGCTACGGCCTCGGTTACGAAATCAGAATCCCATAATTGCGAAAAGATTTTCCAGGAATTGTCCAATGTTAGCTTTTTTGGTGTTACCCTCTGTAAATATTCTTATTATTATTCAAATGTTTTTTCAGACTGCATGGCTAATTAACACTTTATCTGTAATTTAAAACCGTAATAGCGAAGATATCGGTGACATCACTGTTCCGTATATTGTGTCCGTATATTCTCCTTTCTATAGCCTGTTTGGGATGAATGGGGTCACTACGGAACGGACCTTTTTGCTGAGAAGGCTGTGGACGTCATTAACGCACATGACACTTCCAAGCCGATGTTTATGTATCTTGCCCACCAAGCTGTGCACAACGCCAACGGGAATCAACTTATCCAAGCTCCACAGGATGTAATTAACAAATTTAAAGATATTAAAAACGAACGAAGAAGGATATTTGCTGCTATGGTAACAGTGTTGGATCAGTCTGTAGGCAAGGTATTGAGACACATGTTAGAAAAAGCTTTTAGCCACACCTTTAGCGAATACTGATTGGCGTAGCCGTGTGCCGTTGTTAACAAAATGACGGACGCTTCTTGACGTTTTCGAAGTGTCTGTTAAGAGGATTCAGATAAGATTTTGAACCACTAGAAGATATTAGTGTATGATAGTTCAGCCAATCGGATTGCAACACTTACATAAGTATACGAGTAGAATTCTACTAATAACCATAAAATATTTCACTTAAATGCGTAAAGGGATTTGTGATTAGCAGTTTGGTTTCTTTTCCGGAGTAAAAATCTAAAACCGTGTACACGTCGTTGCTTCAATCGAGGAGGTAAATAATTGCATTTTTTGTCGTGTTATTACAGGTTGTAGACGCCCTGAAAGCTCGTAACATGTACAACAACTCGGTGATAATCTTCTCTACTGATAATGGAGGACCTGCAGCTGGTCTTGATGGCAACAGTGCCTGTAATTATCCACTGAGAGGAATGAAAACAACACTTTGGGAAGGTGCTTTGTTCAGTTGATTAAGTAAATTAGTTGAGGCCGTCGTTTCAGCTTTACTGGGAAGCCGGTAACCAGCACAAACCATTATGAAACATATTCAACTAGCTGAGCCTAACTGAAGCTCTATATCTATTATTCTTTCAAAAAGGGCAGGGTTTTCTTAACGGAAGATGACTGCAGTTTGTGTGTAGGGGAGAGAATTCAAAGAAAATTGTATGCATAACGAAGGATCGGCCAACGACGAAATCTTTGCGAGAGATGTACCACCGAGGGCTCCTTCTTGGTGTAGAAGACACAGGACACGTCAGAAACCTATTGCTTTCATTGTTTCCTCCTTCTTTTGTCCTTTTGATCTCTATTGTTTTACGTCAACTGTCTTCTACACCAATTTAGAGCCCCGAGTATCAAAAGAGTCATCCATCTTGAATCACAAGATAGATCAAGGTTACTTGTTTATGATTTCTTCGTCCCATTTGCTGTGATTGCTTCGAGCATGATGCGTGATTTCATATTTGCTTGTTTTCTGTAAGTTCAACAAGTTGCACATAATATGCGAAATCGAAAAACCACGCTCCGTCAGTGGTCATCTGAAAACTAAGTTCAGGGTTAAGTACGTGAATGAACTTTCTTAACAGAGTTCTTTCAAACTTAGTCAGAAAAGTTCTCATTTCTTAAGTTATCGATGACAACATTTGGTTCTGAAATTTTAGTGATTCGTTCGAAGGCCTTACATATTTTTTCCTGATTCCTGTCTTTTTTTAATTTTTTATTTATTTAATTTTTTTTTCAGGTGGAGTGCGTGGTGTGGCGCTCGTTCACAGTCCCCTGCTGGGGACCAAAGGCCGAGTAAGCATGGACATGATGCACGCTACAGACTGGGTCCCAACGCTCTACGGGCTGGCAGGAGGGAACACCAGCAAGCTGGAAAATCTGGATGGGTTTGACATGTGGCCCACCCTGACTCGTGGAGAACAAAATCCACGCACTGAAATATTACTCAATATCGATGGCGACGATTCTGCGCTTCGTTTTCAGCAGTGGAAATTTGTTAATACAAGTAATGTTCACCTTCCTTACTCTTATTTTTAATTCCATCGAGTTCACATCGTAATTTTGAACTGACGGGTGATAAGCAACATGACGTTTCGACGACTTCATGTCATCACTGTCGAATGAATACATTAAAAATAACGGCAAGGCATATTTATAGAAATAAGAATGTGAAGAAATAAATTAGCAAAGGTGACATGAAAGCATTCAGGTAAAAAGTTTCGCGCGAATGAAATCTGCTTGGGTGTTCAGTTTCGGTGTTTTGTTCTTAACCCACAGTATTTCAAAGATCAACAAACATTCGAGTTTGCCTCTACATTTCTTTATGACTTTAAAGTTCTTAATGAAGTTGTCAGGTGTTAAGCCATGCTCGTCCCTGAAATGTTTTCCAATCACAGAATATTTATGTTCTTCTACGCGTTGATGGAGGTGGCGCGCGGCAAGTGTACCCAATATAATTTGTATTGCACAAACCACATGTGAATTCGTATACTACACTTTGCTGGTTTATCAGTTGAGACTTTATCTAAACTTACTTTTTCTGTATTTTATTAGGTACTGCTCGCAGTAAATGGTATCCTCGTCCAGGACTTACAGAGTCCAGTAGGTCTTTCAGAGATACACCACTAAAGAATGTAGTGATTAATTGCTCTGGCGAGCCCCCGGCCACGCCAGCGGAGTGCAGAGAAAAGCCATGCCTGTTCAACATTGAAGATGATCCTTGTGAGTACTACAATGTCGCAGAGAAATACCCGGATGTATTGAACAAGTTACTGAGCGTGATGGAAAAGTACAAAAAGTCCATGGTTCCACCAAGATATAAACCCAAAGACGAAGCTGCTGACCCAAATGCTCACGGAGGCGTTTGGACGCCGTGGCGGGATTAGAAATCGACAGAGAGAAAACCTGAGCTAGAATTGACCATTAGAAAGTTGGATTGCTTTAGAGTCAGCAATGACCAGAGGAGCATTTTCACATGACGTCACAGGGGCCATATTGGTAGTCCTAAACAATTAAATGTTTTGTCCTTTGGGAAATGAATTCTTTTTGTATTGTTTAGGAACACCAATATGGCTGCCATAGAAACACTTTGTAAAAGAATTCATCTTTATATGATATTGTTATCAGACTTAATTTTTTCATGGTTACGATATTTCTTGTCCTCCTGTTTGCTCGAGATCTAGCTAGTTTGTCTGAGAACAGCACTGATTCGAGAAATGGTTAGCTTTTATTTGTCCTTTCGGGTGAATACGTTTTATCTTAATTCTATGTAGTTTATTAAAAATTAATATAATATATACAATGTGATGGTAAGGCCGTTATTATACTAATCGTGACCGAGTTCAGCCTTGAAGGTTTCAATTTTTTTACTTTATTGGGAATAATTTTAGATAGAAGTTAAACTTGTGTTTTAAGGGTAAAAAGACCAGAAATATCCCCTACAAGTAAGACGGTGTTTAGAATAAAAGATGGGTTACATAATAACTCTGTGTTTGTCATTTCAGTTAATTTTAGACAACAGAAAACAGCATGGCTGTAACAGCTTTTGCGTGCCATCTATTTAGAAAGATATTCATATGTTATCACCTCCACAAAACCTTCGTAGCGCCGAGTTTGCTGTAATCATCTCTCAGATTTCACTGAATTTCTCAATTGACTGGATAACGTGAACACAAATGATCTGAGCAAAGTCGTATCTCGAAAAGGGGGCAAACTTTGTGGTGGGGTGTTCACTTTTTGAGTTGAATGAAACACGAGTAGAAATGAAAGCGACCGAGACGGAGAAATTGCTTTCTAATAGAAGGTCTCCTCTACATGTACAGTCGTCTATGGTCGGGAAAATTGTTTATTGGAAGACCAGAACAGTCTGAAGTTAGATAAAACGTAAAGCGCGAGTCTATACAGTCCGATAATCAAACGCTTTTGGCGACATATCCATCAAATATTTTCGCTCTCACATGACTGGTCTAAACGCGTCACGTGACTGAATAAGCTCCACCTAAGACTGGAGAATATCCAGGTGATAGGAAGCAATTTTCATAGGATCTTCGGCATTGCAGAAACTATTTGAAGCATAATAAACACAATAGCCTCCGTTTGACTTTAAGATTATACTTTGGTATTTGTCCCTGGGCATTATCTTATCCTCAAAGCTCACATTTTCCCTTGAGCTTCGCTCTCAGAAAGCTGCTCGCTTCTCGGGACAGATAATATCCGCGGGCAAATATCCGAGCATATATTCGTGCCAAATGGAGGCTATTGAAATGCGCTTAACCTGTGGTTCACAAGCACTGTGAGCTGTATGTTTGCGTTCCTCATATAGCTTTAACTCGTTATTGGCAGGGTTACACTCAAGCTTCGCTAATCGGCTTGCTTGTGGAAAATTTCGCCGGGATTTAAACCTTTCCTTTGCTTTCTTCGAGCCCTTTGCATACTTCCAATTGAATTTGTTATTCGGAAAAAATACTCGTCTCCTTTCGCTGCCAAATTGACAGTGTGTTTACCCCTATTACGTCCACTAAAATTTATACTTTCGAAGTTTCACTGAATCTAAGCACGTGCGGCCAAACTTTTTTTTCCCTTGTTATCAGCAAGAAACTGCGGAATCGCTTGGTTCCACTGGAGTTAGATGTGCAAGGAAAATGTTAATTCGTGGTTTAATTAGTTCAAAGTAATTAAGCACTACTTTCACTTGCTTCCAGCCTGGTCCCAGAGGGTTTCCTTGATTGAAATGAAAACAGAAGAAAGGCCGTTTACCTGACTGGAACACGGTTAACCATCTTTTGTTTCCGAATAAATCATTATGAGAACGTTTCACATTCCACAACAAAGGTCATGTTCAGCACGTTTTCTCTTTGGAAAAAACGACAGCGATTGCTGTCGAAAGAACTTCAAGTTTAGTTCAATTTCAATCAACTCAGAAGTTTTGAGTTATGTAACATTCGGTTCAAGTTTACCTGGTGAAATTTAAACGCCATTTGATTTTGGTGTCTACGGTCAAAGAAAGCCATTGTTTTTTTTTTCTTTCGTAATTAAAAGATTTACTTAGGACGCATCGAAGTCATTTTGTATCGACCGTAGCAGCGAGGATATCTCTTGGCCAAAACATTTTTCCCTCCCTCCGCTCCCTTAATGCATCTTTCGGATTATCATTTATGCTATGCATTTTCGCTTTCCAGCGGTGGGGCGCCTTTTTTGCCCCACCTTTGCTGAAAATGATAATATAATTACATCGTTAACAATGAAGCGGCCAAGAAATGGGTTGTGTCCTGGTGTACCGGTACACAGATCGAATAACCATTGTACTCCTTTCTTTACGAACCTTTGTTTAGCTGTTTAACATTGTTGGGTGTTTTGTATCTGTTCTTGTGAACCGGTAAAGGCGGACAGAACCAAGAAATGCCAATTCACGAGTTGAGCATTTGTTGTACACCATATCATCTCCAACTAACTAGTGCGACCTCAGATCACAGAGAGCTTCCGAACTCAGTTCAGTACAATGTATCGGCATAAATATGGTTCTTTTATATTGATTCCAAGCTTTTACCGAGACTCGCCTTCTACTAGCTACGGCTGTGATTTGAGCTTCTAATTGAATACGTCTTTGAAGAACAGAAATGCCGAAATGGCTTCAAAAAAAGAGTTAATTTTGTTGTCCCGAGCTTAACCTCTTTTTTCCCCCGCGACAAAAGAGTCCCTTGATACCGCCTTTGTGTTTGTCATTTTAAAACCCTTTTTCAGTCTCTAAACATTTCAATGGTGCTTTTCATCAATGACCTGTGAGCTGATCAAATATGAAAGATATACCTTAATATTAGTCTTCATTTCTGGAAAATATACAATCTGCGATCTTTTTCAGTTTCGTGAATGATTTTCCTTGAAGATTCAACTCTTCTTTTAGTTTGCGTGGTTTAAATAGCTTGTTGGTAATATAATTATAAGGACATTGACATTTAAACAGAATAAAGCCTTAACGAGACCCTTTCTTAAACAAATAAGGCTATACACACTAAGCTTTGTTTTAAAGCACAATTGTGCGGCAAATTGTAGTCTGTTCAATAAATGAACAGATTAGTTATCTAGAAGTAAGCAGACTCTACCAGCTTCCACGAAAGCAGGTTAGCGTCGCTGCAAGACTCAAGATGAAAGTCGCAGTCACAATTTTACTGGTTTTGCAATTATTTTTTGGAGCTGGTAAGTAAGACGCCGTTATTGTACTAACTAAGAGGCTTAACTCTAAAGTGAGATTTATTTTAACTCTGGTCAATACCCTTGCATCGTGGAAATTGTAGGTCATGTTAAAGATTAACCGATCCCATTTTTTCAGCAGTGTAAAATTGTATTTTAGTGTTCTTGCCAAGAGGAGACAAGTAACTCCGCACAAGTCATTTGATAAAGCGCAAATCGATCGGAAATGTAGGTCAAGAAAGAATATCTCCATTACGGAGCATAAAAGTTTAGTACAAAGTTCACAAGTAAACGGCTTAAATTATTTTAACTAACGAATCTCGCTATGAACTGAATCTGTCCAGTGTAGGAATTGGGCCCAGCTGTAAAAGATCCAAAGAAAGCTTTCCGTTTCAAATGGAAATATGGAAAATAATTCGTGGTCGTTTATAATTCGACAAAATACTCAGAGTTTCATAAATTCACACTGTTTGTTTGCTGAGCATGGCTATACTCTCAAGTACTGTGAGCTGTATGTTTGCGTTCCCAATATAGTTTTAACTCACATATTATTGGTACGGTTACACCCGACCTGCTCGTGGAAAATTTCGCCGGTGATTTAAACCTTTCCTTTGTTTTCGTCGAGCCCTTTGCATACTTGCAATTGAATTTGTTATTCGGAAAAATATTCGTCTCCTTCCGCTGCTCAATTGATAGTGTGCTTACCCCTGTTACGTTCACTAAAATTTATATTTTCGAAGTTTCAATCTAAGTGTGCGCTGTCAAACGTTTTTTCTTTCCTTGTTGTGAGCAAGAAACTATGGAATCGCTTGGTTCCACTGGATTAGATTTGCAAGGAAAATGTTAATTCGTGGTTTAATTACTTCAAAGTAATTAAGAACTACTTTCACTTGCTTTCACTGTGGTCCCAGAGGGTTTTCTTGGTTGAAACGAAAAGAAAAGAAAGGCCATTTACCTGACTGGAACCTGGTTAACCATCTTTTGTTTCCGCATAAATTGTTATGAGAACGTTTCACATTCCACTGACAAAGGTCAAGTTCAGCACGTTTTCTTTCTTGACAAAACGACAGTGATTGCTTTGTGCTTTGGAAAGAACTTCAAGTTTAGTTCAATTTCAATCAACTAAGGAGTTTTGAGTTATGTAACATTCGATTCAAGTTTACTTGGTGAAATTTAAACGCATTTGATTTCGGTGTCTTCGGTTAAAGAAAGCTATTATTCACGGTGTTTTTCTTTCTTACTTACTTAAGACGCTTCGGAGTCATTTTGCATCGATAGCAGCGAGTATATCTCTTGGCCAAAACATTTTCCCCTCCTTCCGCTCCCTTATCACCATCTTTCGGATTATCATTAAAGCTATGTATTTTCGCTCACCGTACCAGAGCCTTTTTCGCCCAATCTCTGACGAAAAAGACAATTTAATTACCATGGGCATTGAAAACAATTTAAATTAAAGAGGCCAAGAAATACCAACTCACGAGTTGATCATTTGTTGTGCATCATGTCATCTTCAGAAAACTAGTGCGACCCCACAGAGAGCTCCCAAATACAGTTCAGTACAATGTATCAGCGTAAATATGATCCCTTTATAATGATAGCGAATGTTACTGGCTACGGCTGTGATTTGAGCTTCTAATTGAATACGTCTTTGAAGAACAGTAATGCCGAATGGCCTAAAAAAAAAAAAAGAGTCAATTTTATTGTCCCGTGTCCTTTCAATTCATAATAGTTTCATCCTCTGGAGGAATTTGATGGCTTTTTTCTTCTCACTCTAGCTAACTAGAAACAAAAAGGAGCGGATTAGCTGTGATAGGCAGTTTTCCTATGCCTACGAGAACACCCTACATATAAGAGAAACAAAATGTTCCCCTTCAGACCCTCCACAAAATTGAAAAGAACATTTCCTGTCCTTCCAGGGGTCAGTTTTTTCCAGGCTTAAATTTCACAACTGCTTAAGTTGTGTGTATAACTGCGATGATCAATCATGTCTTCATATCTTTCTTTGCAGTTTAAATATATGATCTTTCACATATTCACTTGTATTTCTCACCATCTACGGGTATATTACGAACTCACAAAGTGACCAGCTCCCAGTTGGCTCGATAGCTCAGTTGGTAGAGCTCTGCACCAGTATCGCTGAGGTCATGGGTTCGAATTCCGTTCAGGCCTGAATATTTTTCAGGCTTTAATTTCACAACTGCTTAAGCTGTGTGTAAAACTGCGATGATCAATCGTGTCTTCACACCCTTAAATTAAGTTACAATTATTCAGCAACAAAATTTCATCGAAGTTTCTCA